TTTTTTTTTTTTTTTTTTTTTTTTTTTATCTATTAGTTCAACGTAGAATAATTTAGAGATCTAATTGATACGAAATTAAAATTTATTTATTAGCCATATTTTAAAATTTATGAAAAAATAAGGTACTAAACTTGGAATGGACCTATATTAAAATAAGGGTTTTTATTTTTATTTTTATTTTTATTTTTGTTGGTTTCGTGCACCCCATAAGGATAAGGAGGGGGATTTGAATTATGAAATAAGACAATATTCTTTTATATATTTTATTATTTATTTTGTAATTAAGAAAATCATAAAATATAATTATGGGGCCGTTTGAGTTGGGTGAACTGATATTGGGGTGTGGGGGCATTGGGCACTCCATTTGACAGCTGCTTTTAATGCTTAGGTGTGGTTGATGGTTGTTGGAGGCACGTCTTGGCCTTCCCTTCAACACACACAATCGCCTCTCCCTTTCAAACACACCCATTTCCTCTTTTATCTAACTCTTTTCCACTCCTTTCATTTCAATCTATACTTTCTTTTTCCCTTTTTGCCCTTTTCCGGTTAAATTCTAATTCGAGCATAGCTAGCTGATTTAGACATCTAATGAAAGGAAAGTAATCTCGAGCTAAGGAGCGTAATACAAAGCTGGAGGCAAATGGACAAGAAGCTTAAATCAAGTGCACACTAACGCTAAGAGGTGGGCTGAGGGATTCGAACCTCCGATTCTAAAAAACGACGCTAAGTTCAGTGAATAATTTCAAAATATTCTAGTATTTGCCACTTAAATTTATATTCAATAATTTTAATTTACTTCGAAATTTTAAGGAACGGTCGTGATCAAGTTGCACTAAATAATATTCATTCGCCAACGCAACAATATAACAGCCCATTTATGACTAGGGGCCTGTTTGACGCGATAATTGGGCCGACCAAGCCCATAGTCTAGATGTTATTGGGCCGAAATCCCAAGCCCAAAAATAATAAAGAGATTGGACATAGAACACATAACAGAATCAAATATATTTAGATCAGAGGCAGAATACAAACTACATCCCATTAAACGACACCGTTTCTTTGTGAAATGTAGGCTCGAAGAAGCCCTGAAATGAACTAACCGTAATTGAGGCGAAATATGTCGTTCTGAACGCAAAGGTTGCCCTGTGCGGTGGGTACCAAGTGAAACATCTGCAAGCAATATTCTTTAATTTCGATTAAAAAGTTGGATGTTTGAATCCTTCCGTTCAATATATTACTTCAAAACTTTTAAAAAACTAAACTTTTAAGAGTATAAGTTGATGGGTAAGCATGAACCTGGCTGAATCTGAGATGGTGTTCTTCATCGGGCAGCTCGAGACTGCCGCTGACGAAGATGAGGATGGAGCCAGGGACGGCGGAGGGCTGCGTGTCGACAGTGCTGACTACATGCCGGCAACGTTCGAATGGCAGCTGCTGAAGCCTGGAGGAGATGTCATCAACGCCTAATATTTGCTGCCCCTCGAAAGTGAGCATGGAGTCAGGCTGGTACAAAGTGGAAAGGGATGGTCTTTCATTGTCGAACAATTGGTAATAATGTTCCACGAACGCCTTCCCCACTATATCAGCCTCTTCTTCCATCTCTTACTCTACAACAAAAACAGGGGCTTGTAACTCAAAACCCTTTTATTCTCTGCTGATTATATAATGCTCTGTTTTTTCAAGTGCATGGAGGAGGGGGGACAATTACTGGCATGCCCTTGGGATCTGCTTGGCCAGTGAAAGGGAAGGTGGGTAAAGGAGACATTTGGGTGGGGTGGATGAAAATAGGGAATAATCCAAATCGCTGTATTTGTACGCAAACAGAGGAATAAAGGAGATGGTAAAAGAAGAATAAAGAGTATCAAACTTTTCCAGGCCCCTTTCGGCTCTGCAATTTTATTCTTTGCTTACACCAATTAAACCCCATTTTAATCACTAATTTCCTCTACAAAGTTTGTTATTTGACTATGAATGCATAATGTTGGGATTTCATTTGAAGGAGAGAGCTTTCTCTCGTTATCACCTAAAGGAATATGATGTGTTAAATTCAATTTCATCCATATCCATCTTCAAATACATGACAAAGTTATCCTTTATGACTCACCAAAAGACCTTTCTAGAAAATTATGGATAAATGCATACTATTCCTTCCTCCTTAATACAAATTTAAGTCTATCCATGTAATATTCTAGGCACATTTGATCGAAAAAGTATTTAAGGAGGCTGACATAATATAGTTGAAAATTCGACATTGTGAACTTTCTTCTATCAAATAATTCCTCCTATATGTAGTGTAGGGCAGACATGCAAGACATAGATGCACTACTCTGTCTGAAAAGAGCTTTTCCTCATGGAGAAAGAAAAAAAACACCATATGTAAAGGTCAGATTAGAGGAGAAGGTTCAAATTCCTATTTGAGGTGGAGGATCACTGTAGACCGAACACATAGTCCAATCTGGCCGACCAAGACCCTATTGATGAATGAAAGAAAGGGTTTATGAGTCTGGTTTTGTGTTGGGAAGTACGCTCTTGCGTCCATTGCTGCTATTGAAATTCTTGTATAAGTTAGATATCTGGAACTAGTGGGTATCCCGATGATGAATTATCTCATTCACCAAAGAAGCATCTTGACCTGGGTTTGGCCCAATGATATTATGCAGGAAATAATATAAGGCCCAAACTAGCAATACAAAACAAGAAATAGGCTTCCTAACTATCTGATAGTAGAAAAGAAATAGGGGAAAATGCTAGAATCTAGGTATCGTTCCTAGATAGGCATCTCCATCTTCCACCGACAACCTCCTGTCCTTCACACATGACTCCCGCTTCTTTTGCCACCCAATCTCCTTCTCTATTTGCTGTTCAATTATGTTGGGTACTGATAAATAGATGAATTAACCCATCATTTCAACTTCATTAATATTTTATTCAATTCCATTGAAGACAGCCAAAACGACCCATTTTTCCTTTCCAAAAAACATCCAAGTGCCTTACTTTTAAGGAAAAGACAGGAGGAGTTTCACTGTTACCAATCCTATTCAGTCCAATGAATGAGAGAGATGGAACCTCCAATTTCATCAAGTAAACCCTTTAACCGCTAATTATGTGAAGGAATCATATTCCTAAATAGCTTTGATCAACCAAAGAAAAAGACCTGAAAAGGAGGAATAAAGAAGACTATTGAGAAAGGGAGATGCAAATCACCGAACCCATCGGTCGTCGCATCAGTCCAGATAGAAACCAGAGCTCAATGAAAGGGACTTCAAAAAAGGTGGAGCCTTCTTCACCGCTTTCAAAGCTCCATACACCGTCTGATTTGGCTCCTCTAAAACCATATTATTAAACAAATACAGTATTCATTGAGTTCTCTTCCACATGTGATCTCCATAACAAAACCAGGAAATAGATTAGATTAGATCAGATCTAATGAATCATAGAACCCATTTGATGATTGTGAAAATAACAGGTCATGTTCTTGAAGAAGACATCCCCATTGGATGGCAGCCTGGCTGCACCTCTCTGTTCCCTAAGCATTATTTTACTCACCTGCAGCAATTCCTCTAAACTCCATTACTACCCTTGTCGGCTTTGCCTCTCCCTTCTTTTATAATAAGCTTCTTCTGGGCATTTTGGTCATCTTTGGACTGCCAACTACATTTTAACATTAAATTCGCTTGAAATTGCAATGAAATTCATTGCAACTTATTTGGTTATACAGATCAACTATCAACCCAGACCAATGATTTCAATTATTTATGCTCATTTCTTCTGAGTTGCATCTGAGAAACTCCATTTCTCAGCTTCAGGAGTCCCATGTCCAAGATGGAGATGAGCAGGGTTTCTCCAATACGCATCCTTGTTTTCATAGCTGCACTCTTGGCTGCTTCTTCCTCTTATTCTTCATCTGCTGATGATTCCGAAGGGACTTTCGCAGATATGTTCGAAATGTCTTGCCCCGATGACCATTTTAAAACCTCTGAAGATGGCCAGATCTGGCATTTGTCCCTTGACAAAGATGCAGGTACTTATCGAAAGGCAATGGACATCCAAGTCGCTTCCCAATCAAAGCTTTGTTTTTCTAATTTCTAATGAAGTAATCTTCTCTATACTTTTTCTGTTTCCACCGACGAAAACAGGGTGTGGGTTTCAGACAAAGGAGCGATATAGATTTGGTTGGTTCAGCATGAAACTGAAGTTAGTCGGAGGTGACTCTGCCGGAGTTGTCACAGCTTATTACGTAGGTTCTTAAACATCTCTTATCTAGCATAGACTTAAAGTTAAAGTTGATCTTTCTTTTCAGGTATGGCTAAGAACTGAAATTCTTTTGCAGATGTGCACAGAGAATGGGGCTGGACCGGAGAGAGATGAGCTAGATTTCGAGTTCTTGGGGAACAGGAGTGGGCAGCCATATCTGATTCAGACGAATGTGTACAAGAACGGGACTGGGAACCGTGAGATGAGGCACATGCTGTGGTTCGACCCCACGAAAGACTTCCATACCTATTCCATTCTCTGGAACAGCCACAGGATTGTGTAAGTTCTACTGTAAACTCAAGATCTATTAAAGTTTAACGGAGCATCCTAAAAGGACACTGGTTATACTAATTTAGTCATCGTCCACCAGGACAATTTGGACACAAGAAATTCACTATTGTGGGCCATTTGTTCTCACAGTCATTTAATCAAACACCTGGTGGGTGGAGTGGATGAAACTATGTAAAACGTTTCCCCATTAGGTAGAAGATCATAGTTTCAGATAAATTGTGATTAAGGACTCAATTTCCAAATCCAGATATAAAAAATGAAACAAGAAAAATAAGTAGTAGAGCAGAATTTACCTTCATTTGCTTTGCAGGACGAAACCCAAATGATTGAGCTCTTCCATTGGAATATTGGAACAGGTTTTATGTGGACAGAGTGCCAATAAGGGTGTACATGAACTCAGATAAACCGAACAACTTCTTCCCGAACGAGAAGCCCATGTATCTATTCTCGAGCATCTGGAATGCAGATGATTGGGCGACCAGAGGCGGACTGGAGAAGACGAACTGGACAAAGGCGCCATTTGTATCCTCGTATAAGGACTTCAGCGTAGATGCGTGTGAATGGGAAGACCCATATCCCAAATGCGTATCGACGACGACAGAGAACTGGTGGGATCAATACGAAGCTTGGCATCAATCGGAAGCTCAGAAAATGGACTACGCTTGGGTTCAGAGAAACCTTGTAATCTACGACTATTGCAAGGATACGGAGAGGTTCCCCACTTTGCCTTGGGAGTGTTCTTTAAGTCCATGGGATTGAGATTACAGAACTCGTGAAGTTTTGATTACTTTTCGGCCTCGTATAAATACTTTGCTTTGATCTTATTAGCTCCTTCATTAATTCAATTATTGTATGATTGCCAGATTTCTTCCGGCATTTGGGAATACGTATGTTAGATTCAAATATGTCCAAGAAATTACATGATTATTTATCCATCAAAGATTATGCCGATGAGGATTCATTTCGGCCATGGTTGATTCGAGTCATTTCAATTAGTTTCCAAGGAAAGGCCACAGTAACACTTCTGCATAGGGGCGATTACGGAGACAAGGTGGCAGTGTCATTTTTTACCGTGCGGCGTCATAATCTTGACACGCTCACTAACGGTCTTAAGGAGAATTAAGCCCCGCCCCATATATATATATATATATATATAGTTAGGTTGTGACATGGTGCATCCGTCTGAGACCTAAGAATGTCTCTCTCGCCGGAAATAAATGCTCATCTCATAGTAATTAGTCCATTTTTTGAAGGAGAAATGATTCCAATTTATTTATCTGTAATACTCTCCCCAAATTGTGATCCGGGGAGGACACTTAACCAACATTACTCGAAAAATAAAGACACATAAGAAGTACCCACATTCAATCACATGGTCGGCCGGAACAAGGCCGCCGCCATTACACATAACCATTTTCAGAACTTAGAATCCACCACGGAGACGGAGGACAAGATGAAGGGTGGACTCCTTCTGGATGTTGTAATCAGCCAGAGTCCTTCCATCCTCCAGCTGCTTTCCGGCGAAGATCAACCTCTGCTGGTCCGGGGGGATGCCTTCCTTGTCCTGAATCTTGGCCTTAACGTTGTCAATGGTGTCGGAGCTCTCAACCTCAAGGGTGATGGTCTTCCCAGTCAAAGTCTTAACGAAGATCTGCATACCACCACGGAGACGCAGGACAAGATGGAGAGTGGATTCCTTCTGGATGTTGTAGTCTGCAAGAGTTCGGCCATCCTCCAATTGTTTTCCAGCGAAGATGAGCCTTTGCTGGTCTGGGGGGATACCTTCCTTGTCCTGAATCTTGGCCTTCACGTTGTCAATTGTGTCCGAAGACTCTACCTCCAAAGTGATGGTCTTTCCGGTGAGAGTTTTAACAAAAATTTGCATGCCACCACGCAGACGTAGGACAAGATGGAGGGTGGATTCCTTCTGGATGTTGTAGTCGGCAAGGGTTCGGCCATCTTCCAACTGCTTCCCGGCGAAGATCAACCTCTGCTGGTCTGGAGGGATGCCTTCCTTGTCCTGGATCTTGGCCTTGACGTTATCGATGGTGTCGGAAGACTCAACCTCAAGGGTGATGGTCTTACCTGTAAGGGTCTTGACGAAGATTTGCATGCCACCACGGAGGCGGAGCACGAGGTGGAGGGTGGATTCCTTCTGAATGTTGTAGTCGGCAAGGGTTCGGCCATCTTCCAACTGCTTTCCGGCAAAGATCAACCTCTGCTGGTCTGGAGGGATACCCTCCTTGTCCTGGATCTTGGCCTTGACGTTGTCGATGGTGTCGGAAGACTCCACCTCGAGGGTGATAGTCTTTCCTGTAAGGGTCTTGACGAAGATTTGCATGCCACCACGGAGACGGAGCACGAGGTGGAGAGTTGATTCCTTCTGGATGTTGTAATCGGCAAGGGTTCGGCCGTCTTCAAGTTGCTTGCCGGCAAAAATCAAACGTTGCTGATCCGGGGGGATTCCTTCCTTGTCCTGGATCTTGGCCTTGACGTTGTCGATGGTGTCGGAAGACTCCACCTCGAGGGTGATGGTCTTTCCTGTGAGGGTCTTGACGAAGATTTGCATCTAAACAAAACGAAACAGAGAGAACATGTTCAATTTCATCACAATCTCAACACGCTTAACACGAAGCGAAATTCGATTTCATCACATAAAGTTGAAACCCTAAATTCGATTTCAATAAATTCAGAAGAATCTGATAATCCCAGCCAATCTCATAAAAATTCATCAAACTTCAAAGACGACATATATCAATCATAAAATTTCATTCGATCCAAGCAGATCAAACCACAAGGCGTAAGATCCTCAACAAGGGTTTCTACAATTCCCAAATCAGAGAGAAAAAGAGAAATCCCAAACAAAAAATATAATTCCAAAACCCTAAACAATCCATTTCTCGAAACGGAACAACAAGATCGAAGCAGAAACAACAAAGAAAAGAGACGGCAGAAAGAATACCTTTAGAAGAACTCGGCAAGGATTGAACAATCGAAGAAGAGAAGTTAAGAGAAGAGAAATTCAATTACGATGAATTCAAGGGGTGGAGAGCTGAATTTATAGGAGAAGAGAAGGGCAATTTCGTCACGGGAGCTAATGAATTATCCATTACTTTTCCGCCACGTATTGCTGTTATTATCCATTACCTATCGTCAAAAGGTAGAAATAGAAATTGAGAAGCAACATGCCGACGTCATTAAAACACCAATAACGTCCGTTATAACGGAGTTCGGCTCTTTTATCAAGAAAAATCTAGACGTTACGCGTGTTTGCGTGGATTGGAATATATTATTCTTCCCCCCCTACTTGAAATATTGCAAAATTATTGGTAAACTTACAAATTTACCCTCTT